GGGCTCGTCCCGGCCGCCCCAGGCGCTGAGCCCGAGCACACCGAGCGCAGAAGTAGCGGCGCCCGGAGCGACACTCGCCCCCGTTCTTCGCTGTGTTAGCTGCTCGCCTTGCAGCAGGGACCTCTGCCTCTCGTACATACCAACTGTTCTGGTCCGTATTTCGGTTTAACTCGCCCCGCGTACTTCTCAGAAACGCTGTTTCCATACACGGTTTCTTTGATCGCAGTGTGCCATTTTGGGTCAGGCACTAAAACGCGACAGTTTCCCCGACAGAAAGAGAGAGAAAAATAAAGCTGTGGCTTGTGGGAACTGTTAACTGTTCACGGTTGGTCACAGAAGATGAAAATTTACACGACTGGAAACATTTTCTAAAACATCGGCCCAGGTACAGCATCCTGTCACAACCAGTGCTAGGAAGGATTTGATCAAAGCTTGCAAGAGCAAAAGTTTCGGTCCCAGGAATGTTTCTGGTTCCTCAGTTCCACACTGTCACTCTTGTCGTTTTTCCAAACAGTTCTTTTGGGGAATGAAGTCAGCAAACTGCCCCCAGGCACATCAAAAATCGGTGACAGCAGCAGAGGTGGAGAGCAAGTTAAGGAAAAGTGACATTAATTAATTACATTTCCAATATAATACATTAAATTAAAATGTAAATTTTCAATGTCATTTTTTCTTTCTCCTAGGCTTGCCTTTGCTGTATAACCCATACACCAAGAGTGGAGAGAAAGCTGCTAACATCTCTTATTTTAATAAGTGCAGAATTGTTAATGATCAGAATTATCCTGTGATTAAAATAGTGCAGACAACTCAGCACTGAGAAAGGATGAATTTTTTATTAACACTCATCCAAACAATACAGAGAAAAAAATCTGCATAGCACACAAATGTCTGAACACACACCTTAGAAGGACACAAAGAGAACAGTACTGACATGGGTAAGAAACCAAAGACACAGGGATCGCACAGCATTGTCAGATGTTGTGCGTGTGAAGGACATAACAGAAGAGCAAAGGATTGATTGTGCCACCTATTCTGTCACAACTTAGATAAAATTTTCTTCTCATATAGTTAAACCTTTGTCTTATTTTCTCTCTCCCCCCCCCCAAAATAACTATCAAATTACCAGAGAAATTTTCTCAGCTGGTTTGAAAACATCTTCAACACAGAGTATTGCTCTGCTTTGACTTCCATATATTTATTGTCAACAATATATTCACTTCTATGTAACAAACAGATATAATTCTCCCCAGGTAACTAGAAAACTACAGTTTAATTCAACTACAGGCCACCCACCCAACTCACAATTTGTATCAAAACGCTTTTTTCCAGTACCAAGATTGTCATTATTACAAGCATGACTAAACTTCACCTTAGAAAGTTACAGTAATTAATCTTGCTTTATTACAAGTTAGTTTTTCTTTTAAAGAGAGGTAATGGAATGATCTGTTTGGATCTGCTGCATTCCAAAGGCAACCACAGCAGCATGTCACAGAAAAATATACATATCAAGAAGGGAACTGCCAAATGAAGCCATTAAAAGGATTTTATTTGAGTTTCTTACTAAATTTAAAGATATATTTAATATATATAAATATATATGTAGAACTAATATTCATTGAACCACGCAAAGAAAACAGCATGCAGTAAAAGCATTACAGAGTATGTCAAGTCAAGTGTGCTGGAATCAAGTATCACGGGCATCTGAAGGCCATAATTTCTTTCTTCATTGCCTAAGAAGAAAAATAGACAAAGCAGGAGTCAGTGTGAACACAAGCTTAGGAACCCTGTTTACTTCTTCATCAAAAGAAACAAGCATCTGTACATACATACAAGTGTTACTAACACTTAGCCAGTGCATGTGCTGCCACCATCACATCGTCCTATACCCACTGGCTTCAAACACAGCCTTATGCACCCGAAACAGAGTAGGCTAGAGAGGCTGCAGGGATCTGTGGCAGGGACTGGGGGGCTCTATCAAGGGTGCTTTCAGCAATTACATCTGGAGACGGTTCCTGAAGGGCCACAACTAAAAGCTGGAACTGGTCTGCACTCTAAGTACTTGTTCAAGTCTCTCTTCATACAGTAGAACTTGCTCCTGACTGACTTGTGCAGCCACTCTGAATAGGAGACAATTTTTGGTTAAAGCTCAAAGTAGAAAACAAAGAAATGAAGTCCTGTCACAAAAACTCACAAGCCCCACGATAACAAACAAATCCCTTCTCATGCTAAAACACATCTTTATGCTAGATGAGAGAAGAGTGCGTTTTTCAGGAATGGCCTCCCTGAATCCAAATAATCTTCACTGCTGTACAATCAGAGCAGAACATCTAACTTTATTGAATGTGGAAGAAGAGATGGATATGACCAGGGTCAAAGAGAAGAGTCCCGTTGTTTGGGTTTTTTAAAGGAAGACTGAGAGGCACAAAGAATTTTATCTATTCTTAGGCACAACCACCTGAGAGAAGTATGGATTCAAGGATCTTGAAGCTGAAGACTGAATATCCAATCTATCTAAATCAACTCAGTACTAGGAATGCCTGATTGAAACTATGGGTTCCTGTGGGATATTTCTGCTGAGTTCTGGCAACTTGGAAATTCCCTCTTAGACGAAGAGATTAGAGAATTTGCCTCATTAGCATTAAACCATCATAAGCATGAAGCTCCCAGCACGCGAAAATAAACTTGTGGCTTGAGCCACACTAGTTAAAAGGAGAGTCTGGTGAGACTAGAGCCTAACATCTCTAGTTCTTGTTACATTTCAGTTACCTTCTTTTCAAGAATGGAATGGCAACAAGTGTGTGACTGTCTGTAAGGGGAGAAAGAAGTGACAGACTGAGGAAAGCACCCTCCCTTTGCAGATCCCCACCCTGAAAAGGTTCTAGAGGACTAGTGACAGACACAGGCTAAATGCTTTGAGAGGTTTCAAACCTTTTCATGCTGAAGCTGCCAAATGCAACAGTGCTTTTGCAATATGGATAAATGTCTTCCAGGGTGAAATGAAGAAGTCTTGTAACACAGGCAGCTAAGCCGTAAGGAGCAATGCTAAATAACCATGATGTTCACAGGGCACATGTAAATATGCCTAACACACACACACACACATATAATAGTGACAGAAAGTGCTATAAGACAAGAAAAATTTACCTTCACTAATTCGCTTTTGTCATCATCTTCTCGATGCTGGTAAATGCACTGGCTAAGGACAGCATACAGTTTTTCCATGCAAAATATACTGACGTTCTCAGTTACCACGGCGATAGAATGCAACACTTGCTAAAGAACAAAATGGAAACGAGAGTTCAGAATAGCACAAATAAGCTGCAAACAGAAAAGGTAGGATGTGACAGAGGGCCACGGCCAATATCCCATGTGAAACTACTTCGATTGCTGCCACATAGGTGACTGCATGCTTTTCTATGTGTTCATCAAGTTCCAGACCTGTTACCAAGCAAGTAAAATAAAAAAAAACCCCAAATAAACCCAAGCAGCTACAGCTTGGAGGTTCACCCAGCTCACCGACTGCAGGAAAGTTGCAAAGAGGCTCTCTGGCACAAGCAGCAAGTTCCAGTGGCACCCATGGTTAAGGAAACAAGTTTTCTAAAAGATATGTTTCATGACTGCAGCTCTGTCCTCAGAGCTGAAACACCAATAAGGGCTCTACCATACCAATTATCGACTGGGCCATAACTTCAAAGCTCCCTGACTCTGGAGAAACCTATGTGAATTCTCTACATAGAGAGACTGACATGAACAACAGCTTCCTCAGGAGGGGAAGTGATCTCTTCTCTCTGGTGACCAGTGACAGGACCCGAGGGAATAGCATGAAGCTGTGTCAGGGGAGGTTTAGTTTAGATATTCGAAAAAGATTTTTCATCCAGAGGGTGGCTGGGCACTGGAACAGGCACCACAGGGAAGTGGTCACAGCACCAAGTCTGACAGAGATCAAGAATTTGGACAATGCTCTCAGGCACATGGTGTGATTTTTGGGGATGTCCTGTGCAGGGTCAAGAACCAGACTCAATCTTTGTGGGTCCCTTCCAACTCAGGATGTTCTATGACTCTATGAACAAAATCCCATGAAATCTGCTTGCTTAGGAGGACAGTCTTAAAAAGTTAGTTTCTCCTCTTTTCACTCCATTTCTCATCATGGCAAGTAAACAGCAGCCTCCTCTGCTTTGACCAAACTCCAGGACTTCAACCTAGCAATTTCCCAAAACTTCCCTCACTGCAACATCTCCTGAAGAAGGTCAGATCCTCCTACCCTCTCCAATTCATGCAAAGGAACCTCTTTTACCCTCTACAGCTAACATTTTTGAGCATTTCCCAGCTGCATCCTAGGAGATCAACTTGTCTCCTACATGGGACTGGAAAAACCTTGTAACACCAACTGTATGAATGTAAAATTCTAACACTGGATTTTGAAAGCACTTGAGAAAAGCAGGTATTAGTATTTAATCCAGGATAAGCTTTGGGTCAACCTGCTAACTTCAGGTTAAAGTCATCACTGCTGAAAATCAAAGTCTTTTTCTGGTTCCTAATAAATGAAACCATCCAAACAACAAAACAAAACAACCCCCCAATCCATCACAAAACCCGACATTAATAACCAGCAAGTTGTCAGCGGGCTATGTTAACAAGCCCTTTTACATTAAAAATTAGGGAGAGAACCCAGAATTTAGTTCACCAAAAGCAAGAACAGCAGTCTGCACCAGCTGAGGAAACAACGGTCATAGTCCACTACAGGCTGAACTATTTCACAAGCTATACATCCCTCCTATAACTTGTTTGAATTGGCATTGGTTAACAACTGAATTACTTGACAACTCTGCATGTAGCAAGAAAATGTCCTACTTCAGCATTAAAAAAATTGAAATGACTTACTTTGAGCTCACAGTAATCCACAAACACTCTCTGAGTGCCAGTTTTCACTGCTTTCCTGACACACACCAGCTGCCTGTCTTCTGCTTGAGAACACCTTGCACGAGTCATACGGTGTATCAACAAACCTGGAATGACACAAATTTCTTAACTTGGGATTTCTCTTTATCTAGAATACAGGATCAGTGAAGTGTCCTGTACCTGGAAAAGCGTAACTCTGCAATAACAGACATAGAACTGTTACCATTTTTCACTGATAAATGCTTGACTCTTACTTCCTTTCTGGCAAAAGTCACTGCTCCATAAAAACTAGAAACTCTTGACACAAACTAAAAAGCACCAGACAAAAAGGCAGGTAAAACCAGGAGAAAAGAGTCCTATTGCTATTACAGTGCTGCACAGTAAAACTCCATTTTAGATTAGGAAACTCATCTTCCACTGGAAACACTAGGACATAACTCTTCTATTCCACACATGATCCTGGGTCCACATTGCTTGAAGTACAGTGTTTTAACTTACACTGCTGGTAAGATCCTCACACATTAAAAGAAAGCCAACGATTGTTTTTCAACTAGGTACCATTTGAAAAACAAAGTGCAGAATAGAAAAACCAGCAGCTGCAGGAAAACATGAGTTTGGCCAGCACAACTTGATGGCCAGCACCATTATGCAAGAAACAGTGTGTGATGATTTCAGAGAGACACAACAGCTATAACACAATGGAACTCAAGAAGGTAAAACCTATAGAGCAGTGTAACCCTCCTCAGCAAGAGAAAGGAGGTAAATGATCTGTTTGACCTGTCACTTACCATTTGAACCCCTGTCTTCAGAAGTTCCAGCTTTTTGGCAATCCAGGATTTCACTCTCCTCTCTTAGGTCTGAATGTTCTCTGTTCTTTCCAGAAAGAGATTTAGCCACAAGAACTCTCTCTCTGTTATTTTCTGTCAAATTTTTCTGTCGTTCTTGAAGTACATTTTCATGCTCTTCGACAGAAGTCTCCTGGGAGGATGCAAATTCAGTGCAATCCGTGTTAGACTCTTCATTACTCTCTATTTCATTTTGGTCTTCTGGAATTTTATTCTCTTTATTGAACTGAACATTCTTCCTCTTTGCTATCATACCTGAAGACCATCTGTTCTTTCTGCGTTTTCTTTTTGACTTATCTACAAAGAAACACAAGAAAATGTTATATGAAACATTACCAAAACAGTTCTTCCTTCAAAATCCAACATCCTCATCTAAATTGACTTGCAAGGAAAATGACCAAAGCAGCTCAAGTACCATTGTCTGTCTCCCTACATATGTCTAAAGCTCCAAATTAATGGGGTCAATTTGCTACTAGATTTAAAGAGAAAAAAAAAGAACGACAGAATTTAATTCACAAAACCAGCAGCTTCAAGATGTTATGAGCAGGAAATTCCTTCTTTAGATAGGAAAGCAAGGTTATTAGGTGACTTGGTATGGGATCTAATATAGGTGAACAACAAAAAAACATCTGGAGACAAGCCTTTCCTCAAAATCTGTAAAGCTGTAAACTTCAGAAGCTATACACACATTGGGAAGAATTGAGGAGACAGTTTTAAGTGAATATTTGCTGGAGAGAAAAAAAATCATCCATAAAGATTTATACCTCATGTGCTTTCTGATCCAGTTAACCTTGTTTCAAGCAAACTTAGCATTTTTGCCTTTCAGGAAAAACACACCACTCTTTGCGTTCACAGAGTACTCCTCAAAGCCTGGAAGTCAAGTCAGTGGCAAAATTCCCAGTCATGCCAGCAAGACCAGGAAACATCACACCATGTCATGTGTTTTAACTGAGAGAAACCCAAGTCCCTTTGTTCTTTCATGTCCTTTTCACAGGAAAAGTGAAATAAAAGTGATCTTTCCTTCACATGTCTATAATTACTGCTCCCCTAATTTTTAATCCTTCCCCCTTCAATTGGAAATCATAAGAGGTGGCATAAAGTTTAACATTTGAGGACACAAAAGGGGAACACACTGTTACACATAACTGAAAAGTAGTTGAGTAAGTCAAACTGCCAGGTACAACATTTTTGAGTTCAAAAGGAAGCAATGTAGGAGCCATGAAATCTTAGTTGTGTCACCAAGGCACAACCAGCCACTGCACTTCAACTTCATAACCACACTGAATGAATGACCTCTGGGCTCCTGCCACATTTTGAAGCATATGAAAAAAATTAATGCCTCTGGCATGAAGAACCAGGCAACACACAGGAACCTGTTAGGTGACAGGAACAAGAATGCAGCAGTGACTTCAGCACCTTCTCCAAGAAGGCTTGAATAAAACGCAACTTGCCTCGAGAGCAGGGAGTACTGGCATCCACTGGCACCATAGTCATCTTTGGTTTTTCATTACACTTCGGGTCTGTTTTCTTACACCCAGCAACAAGGTCTTCCCTTGGCATTGCACAGCAGTCAGAGGAAGCACAGTCTGAACCTTGCAATAAAGAGCAAAGAATTGTGACTTGTGCAGTTCATTACAAATAGTGAGACAAGTCTTAAAATCCTCAGCATCAAGAAACATACCTCTTTGCTCACGAGATTCTTTAATTTTTTGGCAGTCTTGCTCAAAATCTTCATTCAGTTCTTCCCTCACAATGGAATACGCCGCATCTCTCAAAGCACAAGCTCTGTGCCTAAGGAGACGATCTGGAATTTGACAGTCACAAACTGAGTATTTTCTACCAGCAAACGAATCCTTTTATTTTGTTTACTTCAAATGTTTTTACTCTTTTCATAGGTAGGTTTTGAAAGGTTATCTCAGTATTTCCAACATACTGACAGAGCAAAGTTCATTATTAAAGCAAAAGCACTAGTTACCAATCAACACATCTATCACGAGTTCATGCCCAAGTAGTTTATTTAATGCCACAATATTGACAACCTGGCAAGAAATGCTCTCTGGGGATGCTAACAATGATCTAATCCCACAGACAACATTTATCAACTTAGACATTCTAAATTTTTACAAATTAGGGACAAAACCACATGCTTACCTCCAGGACCTTTATCTGGGTTGTACTCTAAAGCATTGTTACAGATTAGATCGATGTCTCCTAGAAAATCTCTTGCAGTTAGGTACTGGTGCATGTCGATCTTGGAGAGAACTGTTGAGAGGTCCATGGGCTGTTTAATAACAGCATTGTAATCAGGTACCTTCAAACGAGACATATGTGCTCAGGGATTTAACACAGTAGCTACCAAAAGTAATTATTTTCATCAAGTGTGCTGGTTTGAGCTGGTGGTGGCTGCTGGCTGGGGTTAAACCACGACATCAAGTCAAAAAAAGGACCTTAAAACCCACAGTATGACACATCCAAAGATGCAGAAATTACCCAGTTTCTTGAAAACAGAAGGGTTATTCAGCTGGCTTTGAAGAGACAGATCGTAAGAGGGGGAAAAAAAGCAGGGAGGTCAGAACCACATATGTGGGGCAGAGAAGGGAACTGGCGTCCTGAGTAGGATTTATTTCACTTCCCTTCAGAAACTAACAGCAAAGAAACCTTTCTCAGTAAAGTCATCTGAGATTCTCTTTGTTGTTGGCAGCAAGAAAAAGGCTGCAGGAATTGCACCTTTGAAGCACCTGTCCTAGGCACCTGCTTTAGAAAGAGGTAACCGGACCCAGAGGTGCCAGTTTCTTTACTCAGACCGTAAAAGGAACCTAATGACTAGTTTGTTTAGATTATGTATGTTTAGATTATTCACATCTCAGAAAGGACAAGGAAAGGAAATGACAAGTCAGCAGACGCTTAGGGGAACAGAACATTTTGCTGAAATGCAAAGTTATGTCAAAACTACAGCTGACTTTTAAGTATGTGCTCTGGATTAGACTTACTCAATAAATTAAATGAGAAATGTATGGAAGGAAGAATAAAAACACATAGCCCTTATGGTTGATCTTATACCAAGGAAAGCCCCAGATGAAATTTAGAATAGAATCTGAAAATCATTTTGACAAACTTCTGCTTCTGCTCCTGTTCTCACAGAAACTATTTACAGACAAGTAAAGAGCTTTAGGCTTTATTATAACAGCCCAAAATGTACTGTTTATCATTACAGAGCAAAAGAGATATCACTGCTTTTCAGTGCTGTAACACACCTACATGTCAAATCCTTTTCATGGGCAAACTGTATTGTCATTTGGTGTAACTAGCCCTTGGACTAGAAGATCCCTGTAGGTCCTTTCCAATGGAAATAATGCTAAAGTTGTACAAAGATTTTAGAAGGAACACAGGGCTTTCAGTGAGCACTCAACTAACAGATATTTGAGAGCCCCAAGGAGTCAACAGAAGTAAAAGAAAAATTCACTTCCTGCTTCCTAGAAAATCAGAATAGGAGGGCCCTAAAAACAAAGATAAACCTTCCTACAAGGAGCACACAAACACCTAGGAATACACACAGATAAACTGTGAATGCAGACAGCTACAGTGGTATTGCAGATCCACACCAATTTACCTCCTCTGGGTCAACAGGCTTTGTAAATGCTCGGAAACGTTTGTCAATGACAAGTCTGTGTGTCACATCCCGCAAGTAAATCCTAAGTTCGCGCAGTGTATCCTCCTCCTCTTCCTCCAGCTGTCTCATTTCTTCCGCTGTCAGCTCTCGGGGTGGTGGTGGTGGTGCCACAGGCAGAACTTCCAATGGCTGAGGAGCTTAAATTGATCAGAAAATTTTAGTCAGTTGATGCTACTCAAATATAAGCACATGAAGAATGATAGAAAATTACCACCAAAGCGAACACTGCATTAGCTCTTAATTTACAACCAGCAGAGTTTTAGATGCAGAATATCCTCACCTGCTCTGCTCTTTGCCGCAGGAGGCTCAGCAATGTGCTTCATAACCAAGTCCTCAAAAAAACTTTTTCTTTCATCACAGGTAGGCCACTGAATTTTGAAAACTTCTTCATGATCATTATTAAACAATGCTTTTATCTAAAGCAGGAGGACAAAAGGTATTTCAGATATAAGGCCATACAATTTTTTATATTCTATTCCAAAAAGATGAGTACGTTTCTAAATTAAACTGAATACTCAGCTGGATATGACAAGCTATGAGAAGTTTTCTTCTTGGACTTAAAAGCTGAGATTTTCATAGCATAGCAAATAAAAGTATCTGCTCTGAGGAACATCTTGTGGACTTTAGGCTCCATGAAGAATCCATATGACAAACCACTGAGAAAGGTGACATTCACCACCTCCAAGGCTGCTTATTTTGTATGTGTGCCTTGCTGTCCTTTATGGTAGCTACAGAGGGAATGGGCAAGGTGCAGCAGACAAGTTCTGGCTTTTTGGCAAGGTGAGCTTTCTCAATTTTAAATAATTTAAATGAGGTGTCTGAAGTTGCACACCTCCAAGTTGCACCCTGTATTTCCATCCCTACTACCTAAACGTATGGAAGGAATTTAATTCCTTATTTTAGAAGGTATTTATTAACAGTATAAAAACTTCTGTTAAAGAGGCAAAATAACCAGAGCAGCTCCTTCCTTTAACACTCACTCTCAGATGTTGTTTCTGAGACCACAGTGCAGCTTGGGGGGAAGGAGGGGCAGTTGTACCACCACAGATGTCTAGAAAGTTCAGCATCTACTCTTTCTAGATTTTGCTAAGGAATTCAACTAAAAATTGATTTCCAAGTTACTTAAACAGAAGTTAGACCATAGCTTTCTAAGTTGTCAAGTTTTCACCTAGATGAAGAAATAAATTTAAATTTTTATGGAATGATTTAAATTTGAAATTACATTCCACCAGTAAAAGTGTGATCATGCTTTTTCAGTAAAAATACCTTTCACTTTTCAGTACATCTGTTTTCAGAAAAAGAATCATTTTCCTAGCTACATCTCAAGCACTACATATTCTTCACCAAAGGCACACCTAACCAACTTGAAGTCACCAAAACGATTGTCTGAAGCAAATTTATGCATCTGTCTAGTAAGCATGAGTGTGTGAGAAGGGAGAAAAAGCTGGGCCAAAGTCAATCTCTCTACTCAGAACACACTGTAGACAAATGCTTTCCGCATTGTTTTGTCTAAGCAAAGTTTAAGAGACCAGGTTTGGGTGCCCGAGTATTAACAGCATGAACTTGCTTTAGAGTGGCAGAGTCCTCCAGTGCTTCAAGGAGTTATAAATTAACAAGCAATTGAGTCGAAAAGAAAGAAGAGTATTGACAGAAATACCTCTTCTGGGAGATCGCTGTGTTCCACATCAGATGTTGCAAGGAGCAAAACAGGAGCAAATGTTGGAATATTCTGCAGTAGTGTTGTAAAAACAGCTTTCAGTGTAGGTCCAGCAGTCTCCCACCAGAAAGGGATTTGTGGGACATAAATGATACTTGGTGCTGTTCTCTGAGCTTCTCGCATCAGCTGGTAAAGTGAAAGCCTGGATAAGAAAACTGCATCACACAGAATAGGCTACTACCTACCTACCTATCAGTCAAACTGTTTTATGAAATAGAAGTACATGGAACAAAAACATCAAGACAAACCAATAAATAACTATACGTAAATAAACAACCCCTTAACAATAAAGTTTTCACTTTGACTGAAATACAGACATTGCTACACAGACAGAAACAGACCTGAACCTCTGCCTGATTTCAAAACTACTTAGGTATAAGATAACTCCTGAAGAGCCCCAGAACTCATCTGATGTGGTGGTGTGCCTGAAAAAACGGGGCTAACCCTTCAAAAAGATGTATTAGCCTGGAGAAATCACTACACAACTGCAACTACACCATTTTCAGTTCAGAGCAGGCACCCCCAACAGAGAATGGAGCACAGACGGAACAAAGAACTACGTGAAAAGATGAGGGCTGACACAAAACAAGAAGCCTGGTTGCAATTCATGTTTTCAAGCACATTTCCTAAGAGATGACCAGTCCTTAGCCTTCCTGAAGAGATAAATCACTCATAACTCATTACCAAAGCACCCATCAGACCAGATGACATGCTCTGAAAGAGCACGAGCCACTGCTTACAGATGGGATCTCAATCACAGAAGGCAACATGCATCTACTGCGTGAGGGAAGTGGTTAACAGTCCTTTCGCACAATAAATCTCTCCATGCAGCCTTTCAGACCAACAATATTCAGGTAGTTCCTGTCACATGATGGGAAATGCACATGGCATATCCAGGCAGTGACTAGACAGGGGAGCTACATGTCCACAGATGCAACCATCACGTAACGAAAAAGGAATCATTCCTCCTATGTGACAAACGAGTACCCCGTCATGGAATGCGTCTGTCCTGACTTGTACAGCCCTCAAATGCTGCTGTTAAAGGTTAAAATATTTTAATGCAATGATGCCAAACAAAAAACTGGATTCCCTGCCTAAAAGTCAAAAAAGAAAACCGTACCAATCTGCTTGTATTTCACTTTCCTAGCTAAGGAAAGCACACCAGTATGCAAATCTAAGTGTTCCAAGAGTTTTAATGTTTTTTTACTGCATGTACTGCAGCAGTACAGGATGTACATCTAAAAAAAGCAACACTTTTTTTCCCCAAAACCTTGACTGCCCTACAAACACAGTAAAAATGAAGGCTACAGAAAGTGCATTACACACCATTAGGTTGATGCAGAGCCATCTACTGGGAGCACAGAGTCTTAAGAAATAACAAAAACAACCTTCTGGATACCAAGACCAGCAGGATTTCTTGGCACAAAGAGGGCTGTATTAGCAGCACCTTCCATTTTCCTGAGCTGCTAGTAACATCATCCCTGTTTCTTTTCAAATGGAAAACATGGCTACGTGTAACATCCTTATACAGCATCCTTCTATCTAGAAGAAAGTGGACTTCCAGACAGAAGTTAACATAACAGCACATTCCTATCAGGCCTCCTCCATTAACAGTGAGCTCTGCTCACGTCAGCAATTTATATACAGTTCCTAAATCCTACGAGATTAAACAGAAAAAAAGATACCTGTGCACATGTTTCTTCTGGTGATGAGGTGCTAACAAACAAAGCAGGCAGGTCCAGCGTATAAACAGGAAACTTCTCCAGGGCATGTATTACTGCGGGTGCCAGATGAAAAGCTTGCCCACACTCTGGATCTTCAACTAGTAAAAACCGTGGCCTGAAAGATGTTGGCTGGCAACGAGGATTTCTACAACAGGAAGAAGAAAACAAGTTTAAAAATGAGTGATGAATAGGCACAAAGATGTTAAAGTTTTTTCCTATTCATTTTTTTTTTTTAAATACACTCCATGTTCCACCAAATAATCATCTAGTCTGTAATCAAGAAAACTATCAAAACCTATTTTCTCAAAAACTAGTACCATACCTCCACTAAGAAATCCTGCCAGTCCCCAGCATGTCTGCTGTTCCTTTGGCTGGGTTAAGTAACAGCCCTTAAATGCCACAGGAGGATTGACCAGCCAAATGGACACACACCAACTGGTCAGTAACCCGACATAGGGCAGCATAACAGGGCAGCATAACAGCTCTGTCTCTAAGCACAAACCCGTCTGTGTCTCTTCACTGCCCATACACAACCATTTTCAGTGTGTCTTGACTTTAAAGTAACTGTGAGATCTCTGCACCCATCAACTTTAGCTAAAATTTGGCCATACTTCCTGGAAATGGTGGGAAGGAAGGAGCAAAACAGTTCCCGGAAAAAAAAAAAAAGAATGTGGGCACTAAAACACATTAGCTGTATCTGAAGATGAGGGATTGGTTAAATCACAGCAGTACATGCACAAGATTTATATTTATCCAGTCAATTCTAATGGTTTAATCTTTTAACTGTCTACTAATTTCCTACTAATCTTGCTTTACTAGCGTGAAACACTTGTGAAGAGGTTTGTGGGTTTTTCCACCAGAACACTGTTGGATCTTTATGTGCTGAAATCAAAGATACTACAGACCTAACCAAGCTCAGCAGGTCACATTTTCTGTACAGCACAGCAACAGAGAGGGAGAAAAATAACTGCCCCAACAGTAACAAGAATCTTCTGCTTCCATTGTTGGCTTACAAGACTTCCACAATTAAAACATAAGAAGACTAACATAAACTCACTAGGCTGAAGGTACAAAATGCAGACATTGTTTAAGTGCATGCAGTTCTGGTGTCCTCAACATAAGAAGGACATGCAACTGTTGGAGCAAGTCCAGAGGAAGACCATGAAGTTGAGAAGAGGACTGGAGCACCTTCCCTATGAGGACAGGCTGAGGGAGTTGGGGCTGTTCAGCCTGGAGATGACTGTGTGGAGACCTCAGAGCAACTTTTCAATATCTGAAGGGCTTACAGGGAAGCCGGAGAGGGACTCTGTGTTAGGAACTGCAGTGACAGGGCAAGGGTTAACGGATTAAAACTGAAGGAGGGGAAGTCTAGGTTCTGTATTAGAAAAAAAAGGTTTTTTACTATAAGTGTGATGAGACACTGGCACAAGTTGCCCAGGGATGTGGTGGCTGCCCTGACCCTGGCAGCGTTCAAGGCCAGGCTGGATGAGGCCTTGAGCAGCCTGATCTAGTGGGGAGGTGTCCCTGCCCATGGCAGGGGGGGTTGGGACTAGATGATCTGTAAGGTCCATTGCAACCCTTAAATTCTATGATTCTAAGTTTTTCTCACAGTGTTTTGACAGACCATTCCTCAATTTTGTTTCAGCTACATAATTTGCTACTAGTTTAACAATCTTGGAAGGTAGAAGGGCAAGTGACAGCTACACAAATCCTTAGAAGTTTTTTAAGCCTAAAAGACAGACAGCACGTTTTTTGAGTCTTGAGTCTTTCAAGGAATACTATGGATTAAATCAACATGTTCTAATAATCTAGGGACCACTTTGACTTTGGAAATAGGGCTGGGCCCCTTAGTTTGATGAGTTGGGGAAGTGCACTCAGACCATCAGCATCCAGCTGGATCTTCATGCTTACTTCTTGCAAATATTGATCACCCCCCGACACACTGATCACTCCTCCACGTAGCACTCCTCACACCAGAACAGGTTACAGACCCAGGCAGCTGAAACATGTAAGAAAGGTGACAAACATGGACCTGCTAGAGGTGAGGAATTCTGCCTTTTTGTTGTCAGGTGCTTTAGGGTTTGACTTCTCTTCAAAGATTGATGGTGATTCCTCATCACTGTCAATCACATCGTTTCCTAAAATAGAATTTAAAGACATTAGAGCTTTGTTAACTTTCCTGAATAGTCCAAATCTCACTCTTGCATTAATACACCTTCAACATCAGTGCAGGAAACCATTCTCTTGTATTTCATCATTTGAGGGCACATGCTGAATGCTATTTTCTGACGAGTTCATTCTACCACAGATCTAAGAAGATTGCACAAGTCTCCACAAAGCTGTGCTACATTCCATCATTTGCCTCAATCTCTCTGTTGACAAAAACTTGGGAGGTTTTCTCCTTAGAATAAAGATGATTATGAACAACTTCTGTAGTTTGTAGACACCTGAAAAACCCAACAAGGCCACTTCTTTTTGGAACAGGTTCCCACACTGGATGTGGGGAAATCAAGTGAATGTGATGGCCTCATACTTCCACATGTCCAGGACTACTCAGTCAGAATATACAGACCTACACATCATCTAAATGAGGCTCCTCAAAGATCACCAAAAGGAGCAGATAATGAAAGGCAGGCTGCAGAGAGGGAATGCAATTACTCATCCCCCAGCCCCTCTGCTTTTATTGTGTCAGTGGGTTTCTGCCTGTTTTACCAGTGCAAACAATCTACCAGCTCTACTGGGATTATTACTGGGATATTCCCCAGGGATTAGCATGGTAACTAACTATTCACAGACCTCCGTTAATCAGGAAAGAGTTCATCATACGAGGGAGCCAGAGAAGGACTCTTTATTAGGAACTGCAATGACAGGACAAGGGGTAATGGATTCAAACTGAAGGAGGGGAAGCTTAGGTTAGATATTAGAAAAAAGCCTTTTCCTATAAAGGTGGTGAGACACAGGCACATGTTGCCCAGGGACGTGGTGGCTGCCTGGCAGCGTTCAAGGCCAGGCTGGATGTGGCCTTGAGCAAACTGATTAGTGAGGAGGTGTCCCTGACCACGGCAGGGGTGGTCGGGACTAGATGATCTGTAAGGTCCATTCCAACCCTTAAATTCTATGATTTGTTCTCAGCAACTGACAGACTAAACCTGATCAGGGCTGATGCAGTCAGCAGCATGAGCTCACGTATGCTATGCAAGCCAAGCCCCAAAGTACACACTACTAAAATATTCTCATCTCCTGTGCAAGCATACAGTGTGACCCACAAACATTTCAATTAAGAGGCCATAATGGTTAAAAATCATGACAGCTAAAACCATATTTAGCTTAAACCACTTGTACTGAGGCTCTGACATTTGTGACACAGGAAGGAGAAGCACTGATATAACACTGCTCTTCTCTCTGCATTTAAGCATTTATTTGGAAGGAGGAGCCTCATACGGTTGATCCACCTCTACAAATGATAAATGGAATGCTAGCTACTGTCAGAAACAGAGTGTGCCAGCAGAGAAAGCATAGCTCTCTCCTGCATACTGCGAGTCACTCACAGCTCCCATCCAGTGTGGTGCACACACAGCTTATGAAACTCCACTGTCATTATGGCTCAGGGGTTTGTGTGTGTTACTACACAAATCACAAGTTTGTGCTTTGGCAGAATTTTAAACAAGCGAATGTTACTGTTATACCTTGCTGTTGGTTCTTTAGTGCAAGCTCTGCGTGGGGAAACACTCTCTGCAAGGCTTCTAAAATTCTTTCCAGTGTGTTTCCTAACAGTGGTTTTAAAATAGGTGATAGTGCTCGCCCAGGTGAAGCCACAGCCCTCTGTGAAGCTGGAACAGTCTTCTGCATGGCCGTGACAAAATCCTTGGCTGTTATTTTGATTGAAGAAACGTCTAACTGCAGTTTCTCACTCCTCTGGTATATCTGCGGGTAGCGGCGCCGCAAGGCACAGAGAGCAGCTTCGGCACATAAGGCCTTAATGTCAGCACCACAGTATCCTAACAACCAAAACAACAATCAAATTGTGTGTCAATCTCAGCAACACCAAAGTCGAGGCCAAGACTTCTAAAGTGCAACACTAAAAAACTTTGCAGTCAAAAATTACCAGGGAA